CTAATTATGCATATGAAAAAATCGTACCATAATAAATATAAATTTATTTTATAGATAGAAGATAGCATTTTAAAGTGGCATACATGAAATTGAAAAAAAAAATTATTTTAGCCACAAAAAATGGTAAATATGGTCAAAAACGCAAATTTTAACATATTTAATCTCTTTTTTTTTTCAAAAACCTGACATGTTAGATCAATTGTAAGATCAGATTCGTTTTCAGCAAACAAAAATACATCGGACAGCGCTTCGTTTATTCAGGTACAATTTAACTTTTATTTTTTCATGACCGCGGTGTTTGGGGATCATATTTTATTTGGACATTTTCTTATGCTTTTTTGAAATAAAAAATTATCACAGTAATAACGCTACGCTCAGAAAAAATTAGTATAAGATTGATTGAAATAATAAAGAATAAAATCTTTAATTATTCACATCAATTATTATACGAAATCACTGTTAGTTTACTTATTTAAAAATTAATTCAGAGAGTTATTGATCCAACTTTGAACGAGTTTGTAAAGGACTGGTTTGGAAAGCATAACCCAGGCAGTATACACAATATTTGCAAAATATTTATAAATATTTATAAGGCTTATTTTAAATATCTTGTAAATATTTTATTATATCTTTAATATATCTTTTAAATATTTTTGTGGTGTCAGATTGCGTAAATTATAAACATTTATTGTAAATATTATAAAATATTTATTGTAAATCTTGTAATAAATGTTATGGAAATACTTAATAAGACATAATTCAAATAAAAAATATCAAAAATATACTACGCGCGGAAATTAAAGCACTTCTCACTCCTTCAAAAAATGAGTAAACTTTAAATAAGTGTAACTTCTACAAAATTTTATAATAAGATTATAATAAGACGTTTAAAATAGCATTTTGTAGCTTGAAATTTTTATTTTTTAGATCTGTTCTTTAAATAACAATTTGGTTCATTTTTACGGAGCTACATGGTTACAAACAATGATCCATTAAATTTCAAATTTTTTTGTGAACTTTGCAAAATTTCATGCCGTAAATGAGAAGTCGACCACAAATACTGTTTACAACTTTTGAAAGTGTGAACCTATACCTTTAATTGACTTTTTTAATAAACGTTGTATGACTTTTTTTCATCGAGTTATTCAACATTAAAGTAAAAAAATGATTCTTTTGATTTTGACTGTTTATAAAAGACGAACGCGCGCGGAGTATCGTATAGTACTCACTAAAAAAGAAAAAAAAATCGAAGTTTTTATTTTAAAACGGTCTTATCATTTTTTTAGATAAAAATAAGCTATTTATATAAAAACTTAAGGGTATGCTGGAGCCGTCTGTATTATCGATAGAACTATTCCTAATTCGATAGTAGTGACATCTTTCATTCATTTCTCATACTTATTATATATCGTTATGTCTCGCTCAAACGCATTCATCTGTCTTTATCTTAAGCCTCGTTCCGTTGCACGCGTAATGCGCATAAAGTATCATTTTGTTTTTATTGTTTGCAGAATGTTAAACGAAGATAAAATTGTACATCATGCGCATTATGCGTGAAACGAAACGCAATCCTAATATATTGCAACGCCATCTCTTAGAAGATCTAATATTTATTGCTAGTAACAATTATTGCTTTGTTTACCATTTCGAGTTTTCACTCAGCGTTCGTATGCATCATTCGTCATTCGCAGATCGATATAAATATTTCTTTTAAAGCTTTTAAACTTAGTTTCATAAACTTAGTATTGTGCACATTATGCGCTGAGTGGTGCACTATCATGTGGTCCATACGAGCCATAAAACTTTTTATAAGGAAACATCTACGTCAGATGACAGTTCTACAAGTTGAAAAAATGTAATTTTCTAACTTTTTTTCCGATTTTAGTAAAAAATATATTGCATCACACTCAAATTTGACGTCTACTTTAATCCTGTAAAAAGATTTTTTATTTTATTTAGTAAATTCGGATATTTATATCGATCTGCGAAATATTGACAATTTGACCACTTCAGTATCCCCTTAAGAGAAAAGTAAAATTGAAAACTGAGACAATTTTCATTGTAATGAATCTGTCATTCTAATATTACTGATTAGGTGATGTACGTACTGTAGCCTCGCCTTTTGCTTGTACTTATCTTGCTCGGTACTTATCTTGGTTTTTTTTGTATTACCCACTTTATCTAATTTGTAAATGTATGAAATGCAATAAAGCTATTATTATTATTATTTATTATCTGTTTCTATTCATCTCGATCTACTTCGACCAAAAAGAGACAAATCCTATGATGTTAATGTAATTTTAAACTTTAGAGTCTACTGATTTTAATGAGATTAAAAAAAAGCAGTTGCGATATTTAAAGTAATATCTTTCATATACGAAGTTACGATTTAGGCCAAAACGGCATTCGCTGTATTGATTTTAATCGCTAACTTATATCGCAGCAGGCATTAGCATTATCCGAAGCGTATCACGTGGAGGTTGCACAGTCGGATTTATGCCTCTTTTGTGCGTGTGCGTGCGCGCGCGCGCGCGCGCGTGTGTGTGTGTGTGTGTGCGCCTCTATTGTTGCCTCTATTTTAAAACACCTCACATTACAAACATTCTATGTATTTAATGTAAATAGAAACATTTTGAATACTTGTTAGATCTTTGTGCATTTATTATTTTAATCACATTTTTTTCTATAAGGATAATTTTGAAATTTTTATACATATAATGCCGCGACAACATGTTATTAAATATGATACTCGTTGTCACACTGTTACAAGAAAGCCACAGCCAACAATATATCGCGAACTTACAATTAGTAGGAGCTAACAATCTGTTAAAAATTAAATTTTATTATGTGCTCGCACGCACGCACGCACGCACATCCATAAGAAACGTAAATTCGACAGTGCAACCTCCACGTGCTATCCTTCGAGTAACGCTAATGCCTGCTGCGATATAAGATTAAAATCAATACAGCGAATGCCATTTTGTCTAAAATCGTAACTTCGTATATGAATTTAAACAAATGTCCATTTTGATGTCATTTTGACGTTATCATGACTTGTTGTTTTACTGGGAAAGGATATTACTTTAAAATTGTCTCTACTGCTTTGTTTTAGTCTTCTTAGTCAGTAGACTCTAAAGTTTAAAACATTAACATTAACATTATAGGTTTTTCTCCCTTTTTGATCGAAGTAGACCAAGTTGAATATAAACAGGTAATTGTCTCAGTTTTCAACTTTACCTTTTATTGCATTTTTACATAAATAGTTTATTTTTGTCTAAAAAATGATAAAAGAATCTTAAAGTAAAAACTTTGAATTTTTTTCCTTTTTTTAATGAATACTTAACAATAAATAAAGGGCAAAGTAAAAATCAAACACATTTTTTAAATTGTCACACAATTAAAAAGAATAAATTACAAATAAAGAAAAGTAAAATTGAAAAAAACAATAAAAAACTCAGTTTAAATTCAAATATAACAGTCAAATGTGTTTCATATCTCTTGGAAAAAGTTCAAAAATTATATGTAAATTATTCAAACAAGTGTGTCCATAAGTATGAGAACTAATTAAAATCTACAAAGTTTAATGGAACGCAGATGTGTAAGACGGACATTGTATGTCGATTATAATGTACGCTCGCTGATACGGATCAACACGGACCGGAAACACATTTGACTGTTCAATCGTACGTGAATAATGTCGACTTCTACATCAAGACCCATCCGAGCTGTTATTATAAGGAATATGCGGACATTTTCGATAATTAATTTTGTACAGCGATTTTTGTGATAAGTTAATGTCTGAAGAGGGCTTAATTCGATAATCGAAACTTGTAACGTTTTATATTTGAATTTAAACTGAGTTTTTTATTATTTTTTTCAATTTTACTTTTCTTTATTTGTAATTTATTCTTTTTAATTGTGTGACAATTTAAAAAATGTATTTGACTCTTACTTTACCTTTTATTTATGTTCTTTATTTTGTATATGAAGAGTCCTTCTATCTATCTGTTAAATGTTAATGAATACTGTACTCCGTTTATATTTTATGAGCAGTCAAAGTCAAAAGGATCATTTTTACTTCTATGTTGAATAACTCCATGAAAAAAATCATACAACATTCATTAAAAAAGCAAATTATTAATTAAAGGTAAAAGTTCACGCTTTCTGCAGAAAGTTGTAAACAGTGGGCGCGTTCAAGCCGGACAAAATGGCTAGTCTGCTTGCCGAGTAATTAAATGTGATTGGTTGGATCTATAAGTAACAATCAATCATATTTATTTGTTTGGCTAGCCGCTTTATCAACTTGAACGCGCTTAGTATTTGTGCTTGACTTCTCATTTACGGCATAAAACTTCGCAAAGTTTATAAAAAAATTTTGAAATTTAACGGATCATTGTTTGTAATCGTGTAACTGAAAATCAGCTAAATTATTAAAGTACAGATCTGAAAAATAGAGATTTCAAGCTACAAAATACTTTTTTTGAACGTCTCATTATAATCATTTTTGTAAAAGTTAAAGTTATCATATTTATTTAAAGTTTACCCATTTTTCGAAGGCGATGAGAGGTGATGCTTTAATTTCCACACGTAGTGTATTTATTTATATTTATCTTGTTACATTAAATTTTTAGTTTATCTTTTAAAATATTTATATAATATTAAAAAAAATAAATAATAATAAATATTTTTCATAAATATTATGTCTGGGAACTGATAACAATTTCGTAAAGATCTGAATAAGGATTTTATTAACTTTATTTTTGCACACACACACACACACACACACACACACACACACACACACAGCGCGCGCACACGATGTGCTAACTTTTCTCGAGTGTAGCATTATTATTGTATGATAATTCTCAATTTTTATGTAGAAATTAAAATACGTAGTAAAAAAATGTAGAAATAAGACGATTCCCAAACATGAAAAAGTTGTACTCTCTTTTTATGCGAAGCATAGTATTTTATTTGATAGTGATTAACATCGTACTCACTTGTGGACATTCTTTTACGTTGGGTGCGTATTTATTTTGTTGCATTGATATAGTGATGGGAAAAGTCTGACTGACCGTTGAAGGAAAGGTGCATAGATCGTACACGTCGTTACGCTCCAACTTGTCGTCTGGCCGCTCATCCGCGTGCACGTACTTTATTCCGTCCGCTCCGTTTTCGGATACTGTACAGTTGTTAATATGCGCCATGCCGGATGAGCTATTTACATAAATCCCGTATCCTAAAATAAATCGACAGTATAAAATAATTCAACATATTGTTCAACATGGTACAGTAGAACATTTCATTTATCCAAACATGTTGAGAGACGAAACAGTTCCGATAATCGAATGATTCGGATAACAGAAACTCATTAGTTTTCCCCTTTAACAGTACTATTAATTCTGATAATAGTAATTACCATTCAGAAAATTGATATTGGGCATATCAAGCTCTTATTCGGCACTTTAGTTTGAATATTAAGAGTTTAGCTATGAGTTCGTATATTTGAAACTGAGTACGAATTTGTTCGTATAAATGGAATAAAGATGAATAGAGTTATACTGTATTTATAAATAAAATATTAAAATATAGTAGATGAGAAGAAGAAAAAGATGAGATTGTATTATTACATATATCTCTTACCTTTGTTATATTGCACAGTACAATTATTTATCACGACTGATGCGTCCGACGTAGTGACGTTGATACCCGTGAAGGCAGAATGCAAAACAGAAATTGTCTCCATTATCGGTGGGACGCCTTCCACATGAATCGCCGAAGTTATATTGTACTCCCTCCCGGTTCCAGCATATCTATTTGAAGAATTAAAATAGGTTTATACATATATGTAATATATTAGGAATCCCGATGAAAAAATATTTTATAGAAATTTCTTGAAAATTTTAACAAAATTTTCAAGAAAATTTATTAAAATTTTGCTACAATTTCGCAGAAAGTAATTTTTTTTCAATCAAAGTTGTGAAAAGCATTGAAATTTAATTGAAATTTTTCGCTTTTTTTTGAAAATTTCTCTGAAAATATGTTGATATTTCGTTAAAAGTAATTTTCAACGCTAAATGAAAATTGGCTGATGAAAATTGGCTAGAAACTTATCACAATTTCTTTAAAGTTTTTTTAAAAAATTTGCTGAAAATTCTTTCAAAATTTGCTGAAATTTCTGTAATATGTTGCAATTCACCGGCAGTATGTATGTGGCATCGTCGCTAGATGGACGAGAGAGAGTTTTGTTTCTCGTAATTAAAATATTACACACAATAGGAATATTACGAAATTTTTCACCCATGTTTTAATAAAATGATTTCTTAAAGGTATCAGTCTCAAAAATTGGGCTCAAAAATAAAAGTAAATCAAATATACATTTTGATAATATAATTTTGTTTAAACAAATAATAAAATTTAATTTAAACATCCTTGTGTTTGCTATATAAAAATGTAATTTTGCTTTCAAATTCAATTAAATTTCGCTGAAGTGTTCCAAATTGTAGAATAATTTTAGGAAAATATTTAGCGAAATATCAGTGAATTTTACAATAAAATTTTTTTACTACAAAATAAAAATATTAGGAACAACTGATCGATATCTTTTTAAAGATACTCACTCGATTACCGTGTTCCGTAGAATGGACAGAGATTGATGCACGTAAAGTGTGTTTTGTTGAATGAGTTTCTGTTTATCGTACATCGCATCCTCGAATCGTATCCCCCGCCAATGCTTGATCGCCTTGCTCGCACCATCGTGGCGAGGTAGACAAGAAATACCCAGATCAGGATGATAATCTATAAGATGTTAAAATATATTAATTACAAAATTTTACATGTAAAATTCAAACTTTGAAATACTAGAGAGACAGAGACGGTGGGGGGGGGAGGGGGAGAGCGAGGAAGAGAAGGAGAGAGGAAGGAAGAGAGAGAAGTGAGAGAGAGGGGTGAGAGAGAGAGAGAGAGAGAGAGAGAGAGAGAAAGAGAGAGATCTTCAAACACTTACCGCAAACACCGGCACCCAATTCTCTCTCCGACCAATGTTCGCAAGTCGTTAACGAGGGTTCGGTGCCACGACAGCCTGGTTCCTCGTAAAGAAGACGCGGCTTGGAGGGCCATTGTCTGTCGATCCATGACCACCATTGTCCGCCCTGATAACCAAGCTGCCGGCATGCTGTCTCTAGATTTGCGCGAGTCCAACTGCAACGAGATTCACATATAAGATATCTGCACCAGTATTTCCATTATTGTCGGTTATATTAGCTCCGTACGTACTTTCGCGAGTTTGTGCAGACGGAACGCCAGCCACCTTTGTGAAAGAGCTGCAGTCTTCCCGTTAGCGGACTCGGTCCGTCAACAAGGCGTATCGTGGGTGATGTTCGAAGAGATGGAACCTGTGTTTCCGCTGCAGTCAGCAAGATTGGCATGTGTGCTTCGCCCTTTTAACAGAATTAAATATCGTTAGGAAATATTAAATGCAATTTTATAAAACAAACAGTGATCAAAGGAGCATATAAAGGACCACACGCAGGCTCAGCTTAATTAGCTTAAAATCATAGTATATTTAAATTCTTTCACAATATAAATTTAAACCATAAACGTTTTGGTCAAGATTAAGTCATCTTCAGTATATCATATAACTAAAATTTGATGTATAAATTAATAAAAATTACATAATTGTTAAAATATTAACATAGTCTTAAACGAAAAAGCGTATCCGTTAGATATTAGCGTTGCTGTAATTAATCATAAACGTTTCTATCTGAATTCGTAACATATGTTGTCAGTCTATTTAAACCTAAAGATTTTTTTCAAATATGGTTGTTACATAGAGTTTCCTTAAACATTTTAATTTTTTGTTAATAGTAACCATAGCAGTGTCTTGCGACATGCCTTAGCGTCGAGACACTACCGTGTCTCCTGATTGTTGTGAAGACATAAGAGTTCCAATTTCTCTATTATACACAACGATCCTTACAAAATTGTTTCGACTTCCAAGATTTAGCAATACTGAATGAGTTTTTTAAATTTATCGATTGATCAATTGTATTATGCGCAAATGCAGCTTTTACGAAAGAAAATTACATTTATGTACAATGCGATTGATCAATCGATGAATTAAAAAACTCGCTTACTTTATATGAACGATGGAAACAATAGTTTAAAAGTGTGTATTATTGTCTCGCAACAATCTTGATATTTATAAATTAAAGTGTGTTAAAACGAAATATTTTTGTAAGAAGGATTATTGATCGAAATAAAATAAAATATATTTATTTACTTTCAATCCCAAATTTAGTTTTCAGTTTTATGTTGCTATATATTAAGTATACCGGGCATAAAATGGGAGGAAGGAATCCTATAATTCAATATAATATATGGAGATTACAGGTGCTCGATGTAGACTGTGAAGTACTTTTGTTCGATTTAACTTCTATATGTTCCTTTACAGCATAGAGACTCTCATGTTAACACTTTGATTGCCACATTTATAAATTTTTGCCAAGGCTCTGTTATCCGTTTGTTAGTAACGGTTTTATTTACTCAATTAAAAATAATTTTACCATACTTTAAACACAAAGAAATAATATATTTAAATTATATCAAGACAGAGAAAGCAATAAAGTATTAAAATAATTTATTAGATATATATCAAGCTGAATGCTAAAATTAGTTTGGCAGTCCAAATGTTAAAGACTGAAAAATTTTAGCAGCTACGCCACTTGATCCGTGCCAAGAGCGGTGCCCGAAGGTCTTGACACTACGTCGAGTCTATAAGAGGATTACCGAGGTCGTGGGTCAATCGCGCGCGGGCAAGAACCGCCAGTTAACGCGTGACCTGAAACGCATCGCTTAGAGCATTAGAGGCGGTGCCGCTGCTGAATCACTCGGCCATACGATGCACGCGTTGTTCGCATCCCGTTCTTAATTATCCGATTAGCACTTTCTGCAGATCCCTCGTCGACTGACATCGGCCGGCGGAAATAGTGTAGACAAGAAGTGTCCGTTTACAGAGATTATTAGAACAATTGTTCGCTTGCCTTTAAATGTATCAAAATGTTTTCTCTTAGTGATAGCGTTCAGCAATCTTTAATAGTTTCCTAAGTATATAAGTGACTAAGTTATCAGTGGAAACGCTCATTAGAATTAATTACTGATACTCTCTTATCTCTCTGCAAGTAAATTAACTGACAAATGAAATTGGTATACAATTTATAAAACTGATGATTGCAGTTGCTTATTCACATAGGGTATTGCCGAAATCGCACTACTTTTTACTTAAAACTCATAACTCAAAAATTATGAAGAATGTTTAAGCCTTTTAAAATAAAGATGTTTTCAGTATGGAGCAATTTTGGCAACAAAGAAATTCATTACCTAAAAAAAAAAATCGCATCATATTCTTTATTTAAAACATTATGATAATGCACAAAATTTAAAAAACATAAGAAAAAGAAAAAATTGTATTTTATTATGTTAAAAATTTAAGAGAGAGAATATATGTTGAAGAATATATGTCACAATTTCTGAAAGATATGATAATTTCAAGAAGTAATTCAAGGAGTTTCTACATGAAATGAAATAAACACTTTGCAGATTTACAATATACATTTTTATATAATAATGAATGAAATAAAGTGTAAGAAATGAAAAAATATTAGGTAATGTATGATTTAAAAAATTAAATTGAAGAAAAAGATTGTGGTATAATTTAAGAAATTACATTATAGTGCGATTTAGCAAACTAGAGCATTTTTTAATCTTTTATTTATTTTATCTATAAAAAAATATAAAGCAAACTTTAATCCTATTCTTTTAATTTAAATAATATTCTAATCACGATAAATGATTAACTTAGGTTATTTAACTTATATTTTCTGTAATTCTGCTATAAAATATGTTGAAAAATAAAAGCAACGCTAACACGATTTTTTATTTATGTAAATAACAAAACTCTTGTTGCACTTCATGTCACGAGTATAACAGAGTAGCATTACAGTACCATGTAGTTCTTAAATAACCCGTAAGAAATTATATAAATACAATAATTGAATTTTTTTAAGTGAAGTAGTGCGATGTAAGAGCCGGTGCGATTTCGGCAACTTTACCCTATATAAATATTACTAAATATTTAATTTAATCGACGATGGTATTTTTCTTCTATTTGTGTCTATAAATACTTCTTAGTTAAATTTTACTTAATATTGTATATATTAAGCAAATTTTTTTAAAGCTAAGAAGAGATTTAAAAAATTATATAATAACTTTAAGTAAAAAAAAACAGTAAAAATCAATTTTTTACTCTGAAATCTTGAAATCTTCAAAACTTTTTACTCGTGTACATAATATATTTTCTTTAGACATCTGGCGCCATATTATTGTTTTAGAACTCAATTTTTGTATTTATCCAAAAGATTTCTGTATAAAGATAGATGTAAAGAAAATACAATGACAAAGTAGTAGCTGTGGATATACTTAGATCCAATTTTGAAAAGGCATTATCAATTCATTACCCTAACAGCACATCCTGAGGATGATTTGGAATAGGTCCTGAATATCCCTATATATATAAACATATAGAAAGTTTCATAAAACAGCGAATAATTCGCTTTCATAAAAGAGAAGTATTCTTATGAGCATAGTGGATAGAACTTTTTTACTAACTCGTCCAAAATACCATAGGGATATTTTTATTATTAAGACATTTTTGGACAACGATTACCTTATTAATTTTATTTTTGACACGATCAATTTACGATTAAAATCTCTTTTGAAACGTAAGACGCTAAAACAAACAGACAAACCTAACAATGATAATAAAATAACTTCTGGTTTACTGTCCCATTTTTGCCTTGCATTTATGACAAAAAGAGCATCATTAAAAACCTGTATATCAAATTGTTCTTCTTCAGTTTAAATAAACTTCACAGAATCATCAAAGCACAAAGAGACGTTCTTTTTCATGAATAAAAAAAAAATGTTGTGTACATTAATTGTAAAAATTGTAATACTTCTTACAGACGAGTGGGACAGACGAGTCGTAAGTTAAAGACTAGAATTAACAAATATAAAAATGATATTAATAAAAAAATAGTAATTTACCTGTTATTTCCGAATATAGATTATAATTTGACCATGAATTTAATTGGATGAATACCAAAATTAGATTTTTACACAATGAGATATCTGGGTAAAAGATTAGTTTGCCGAAATGCTTAATATTAAAATGTAAGATAATGATTTAAATTTGATTGAAATTGGAACATGGAATTCTTGCACCATGCTTATACAAATATAATAAATAAATTTTAATTCTTCTGATTGTTATAATTCTATAGCTATATATATATTGTTATATATATATATTGTTATAATTCTATATGTTATAATTCTCAAGCGTCTATCTACATATTGTTTTTCAATTCGATAACTTCTATTCCTCTGCCATTGTTGTTTGCATTCTTATAATATTTATTTCTTAACATTCATTTACATATGTGACTCTGCGTTGACACTGCAAATGTCTTACAAGAAATTAAGTCTGATTTTATCCATTTTGTCAATTTTAATTTATTTTATTGTATATTATTGTGCAGTTATGGTCTGCAATAGATACATCTTCATAAAAATTTATTATCCTTTCTTTTTAGTAACTGTCCTTCTGAATGATATTTTAATTTAGCTCGCACTTATAGTAAAAGAGCTAATTGAAGATTATACACTCTAGATTTAGTAATCTGTGAAACTTCCTTGCTGCATTCGATTTCTTTGATGTACGACATCGGATGGTTATAAAGAATTTTTATTATGCAAAACTGCTGAGAATGGCTCGAATTAAGCCAAAACTTTCAGTTTTTATATTTATATAAGATATATGATTGAAATATATGTTTATAAGATAATCGCACCAATTACCATGTATTAAGGCTCTTGATCGTTTTTTCTTTATTTATTATTTGAAAATTTCATAATGTTCTGAGACCCAGCAAATTAAACACCTAAAAAAGCACATACGTACTATAATTTCTTTGTACACGATTTTCGCATGCACTTAGTGTGAGACATGATTATATTTTTGTATCATCGAATAAATATAATTTTATGAAATATTTTAATCTTGCAAATTCGGCTTTATCCAAGAAACATCCTGAGAAACGTTCAAAAGACATAGGAACGTCCTCTGAAGCTTAAGGTCCTTTTAAGATGTCCCTTGGAGGCATTTGCTGTATAGAAAATAATGGAATTGTCCCAAAGATTACGATAAGTATAAAAAATATAATTTCTATATTCTTTTTGATGAAAAAAAATTTTTTATCGTAAAAATTTTTTGCTTGGATTTTTACTCTGAAATAAAAAAAAATTATTCTTTTTATCTCTAGAAAATATACACACAGCATCTCATAAATTCTCATTTTCCAATTAAGGAGATTATTTATTT